TCCCCTCCCCTCCCATCCACTTCCCCCTCACCTTTCCCCCTCCCCTCCCCCTCCCCTCCCCTCACTCCTCCCCTTGGCTCTCCTGCTCCACCTCCATGTTATGGTGCAACGATGTTGTCGTGGTCAGGCACAAGACGAGCGACGGTGAGGAGAAACGAGAGAGCAGAGGAGGTGGTCAGCTCTTGTAGGGGATGAGGTAGAGAGTCGTGAGGAAGAGGAGGCAGAGGAGGTGGTCAGCTCTTGTAGGGGATGAGGTAGAGAGTCGTGAGGAAGAGGAGGCAGAGGAGGTGGTCAGCTCTTGTAGGGGATGAGGTAGAGAGTCGTGAGGAAGAGGAGGCAGGAGAGTGACAAGGCACAATGGATACCTGCTCACCCTCCCCCATCCTCATCCTCATCGTCGTCATCAGTATCGTCGTCATCGGAGTTGTAGTAGTTGAGGTTTTGTAGCAGCAGCAGCAGCAGCAGCAGCAGCAGTAGCAGCAGTACCATTCATCGTCAGCATCATCACTCGTATCATCGTCATCATCATCACTTTCATCGTCGTCATCGTCATCACCATCAACATCATCCTCAATATCACTATTATCATCGTCGTCGTCTTCATCATCACCACCACCATCACCATTGCCCCCTTCTCACATGTGATTTTTGTTTCTCTGAATTGCTTGTAGGAGCGACTGTCCTGCGATGCACTTCGTTCAACCTCTACTGCGGTCTTCCGGCTTCTCCTAACAGACCTCCCTCCCTCCCTCCCTCCTTCCTTCCCTTCCTCCTTCCGCCTTTCTCAATGCATTTTTCACACCTTAGCTGCCCTCTTCTCTCCTACCCTATCCTATTCTATTCCATTCTTCCCCTTCCCTGTACCCACTCCCTCCTCTCCTCCCTCCTCTCCTCTCTCCTCTCTCCTCTCTCCTCTCTCCTCTCTCCTCTCTCCTCTCTCCTCTCTCCTCTCTCCTCTCTCCTCTCTCCTCTCTCCTCTCTCCTTGCTTCGCTCTTCTCCCTCACTGCGTGTGCTGCAGGAAAGAGCTCTCTGTTCGGAGCAGAGGTTCTCCTGGCGGTGGAAGGGAAGGAGTATGCGGAGCTGCGGTGATGACCCTCCTGCTGTCCTCCAGCTCACCGGCTCCTGCAGCATGCGCGTCGAGTATGACGGCTACGTGAGGTTCAAAGATGGAGGACAGAAACCATCCATGGTTGAGGAGGAGGAGGACGAGGAGGGGAAGGGGATAAGATGGGAAGAGGAAGCGATGCGGCGGCGCAATGACAGTGGAAACAGGAGGTGCTTGAATCACTTTCGCTGCGTCAGGGAAAGAATTCCCTCGAGGCGAGGATACATCACCCCTCCTTCCTGGGGAGACGACAGGGGGTGGCGTGCGCTTCAGTGTGGGTAAGAACAGGATGACGGGATGAGGATGGGGAGAGGGGAGAACCAGAATGGGAGGCAAGTGGGAGAGGGACAAGAGGAGGATGGGACGAGGATGTACGGAAAGTGACTGCAGCGACAGCTGTGGGAGGAGGAGAACGAAGTTTGTGTGGTTGACGTGGATGGGACTATCACCCTGTCTGACAAGATTGGACTGTTCGCCTCTTCCTTCCTCTCCGCTTCTAAGTAATTCCATCCTATCACTCCTCTCCTTTCCCTCCTTTCTCTCCCCAGTACTCCCTATCCCGTCCTATGCCTCCCACTCCCCTTCTCCCTTCCCTCCCTCCTCTCCCCAGTATACCTGCTCTTCTCCTATCCCCTCCTATCTCTCCTATCCCGTTCTCTGCCTCTTCTCTGTTCCCCTGCCATGCTTTCCAATTCCCTCCTCTCATCTCCCCTCCCCTCCTCTCTTCTCCCATTCTCTCCTCTCTCTCCTTCTCTCCTCTCCCCTCCTCGCCCATTCCCGTCCATCGTTCGCCTCCCTCATCCCCTCAACTTTCTTCTGCAGGAAGATAGGGAGTGTGTTGTCGCGAACGAGATGGAGGAGGGAGGAGGATGCAGAAGAAGCGGCAGGGGCCTCGTCGACTTCCAAGATGTCCTCCCTTGCAGATGCGTTGCGCAATGGATACGTACATGAGCATGTGAGGAGGAAGGGAGAAAGGAAGAGAGGGGGGGAAGAGGAGTGAGGGAAAGGGCGGGGGGGGGAGGAGGAGCGAGGAGGTCGAGTTTGATGCTGCGATCAGGTCGACCAGGTTCTTAGAGTCATCGGGTCTCTCAATGTTCGCTTGCTCTACCTCACGGCGAGGCCGATCAGCCTGACCATGAGGACGAAGACCTTTCTCGATCATATCGGAGCTCCGGTCTGAAGAGGAGGATAGACGCGGGAGGGAGGAGAAGCACACAGGACAAGGATCGAAAGAGGGGGGGGGACGAAGTAGGAGGAAGGGGGGAGTGGGGGGAAGATGAGAAGGAGGATGGAGAAAGGAGGCTGACAAAGAGATAGGAAGGTGCCGTGATCACAATGCCACATCCTGTTGTTCGATCGCTTGGAACGGGCCATGAAGACTTCAAGGTCTCCGTTCTACTCCAGGTCTGCTGCTGCTGCTGCTGCTGCTGCTCCTCCTCCTCCTCCTCCTCCTCCTCCTCCTCCTCCTCCTCCTCCTCCTCCTCCTCCTCCTCCTGGTCGCGTGTGGGAGGTGAAGACCGACGACAGGTGCGCGATGCCTTCCTGGATGCGAGCCCCTTCGTGGCCGGGTTTGGCAACCAGGTGAAAAAGAGGAGTCGGAAGAAGATGAAAAGTAGAATGAAGGGAGAGGCAGGCAGAGAAGTGAAGAGAGCAGGGGGAGGAAAGATTGCGGAGGAAGTAGGGGCAAGGTGAAGGGAAGGGGGGCGGGGCAGGGGCAGGGGCAGGGGCAGAGGCAGAGGCAGGGGCAGGGGAAGAGGCAGAGGCAGAGGCAGAGGCGAGAGGCAGGGGCAGGGGCAGGGGCAGGGGCAGGAGTAAGGGAGTGCAGGTGGATTGAAGGTCAGGAGTGACCTGAGCGAGGCCGCAGACTTCGGACGTACAGGCTTACCTGGCGGGAGGGGTTCCAAGGTCGAGAATCTTCATAGTAGACAAGACTTCCAAGGTGAGCAGGGTCCCTTCCCCCTTCCCCCACAGACGTCCGAAATCACTCTCCTCCCCCTCCCCCTTCCATTGTTTCCCCTCCTCCCTCATTCTTTCTCTTCCTATCCCCTGTTTCCTACTTCGCTTCTCCCCCTCTTCCTACTTGTCAACTCTCCCTCCTAATCCTGACATCTCCTCCCTAATTCTTCTCTGCCCTCCACTCACCCTTTTTCCTCTGAGTCCACCGTGCTGCAGATTCGTACGCCAGCGGGGCAGCACGAGTTCTCTTCCTACCTAGATCTCAGCGAGTGCTTGCCGGAGCTCTTCCGAGACGAGCGAGAGAGGAGAAAAGCTGCAGCAGCAACGTCGGCAAGGGCGGAGGAAGGAAAGCAGGAGGAGAGTGAACGAGTCGAGGGGGAAGAGGAGGCTGAGGGGGACAGCCGCGAAAGCGTTGGGCGGGAAAGGGGAGGGGAAGGAGGAAGAGGGGAGGGAGAAAGCGAAGGGGGCAAAAGCGAGATGTGAATGTAAAAAACTTGTACATTAAAGAACCGGATTATTTTTGATTGATCCTCCCCCTCCTCCTGTCTAGTTCTCCATCTCCGCCACTCTCGCTGTGTGCATGTACTTCTGCGAGTAGGGGCTCGTGTACTTGTTGCCTGCCCCTGCCGCCGCAAACTGAAAGACCAACGTGAGACAGTAACCATACACCACCTTCCTCCCTCCATCCCTCCATCCCTCCATCTATCCCTCTCCTGCCCCCCCTCCC